AGGCACTGAGCAAGAGTGACATAAATTTGTTGGAGTGAATTCTCAAGTTTAAAGTGATAAATAGCTTATCCAGATGTGAGAAGATTGTGGTTAAAACCAGGATGACAAGTGAAGGTAGTGAAAGTGGCTATATTTTCAATACATATTGAAGTTGGAGCTACCATGTATTCCTTTCTTCCTTCCTCCCTCCTTCATTCCTTTCCTCCTTTTCTTCCTCTTTCCATCTACCTTTGTGTGTGTGTGAGTGTGTGTGTGCACGTGCGTGTGCATGCACGTGTGTGTTACTGGGATTGAACCTAAGACCCTGAAAATGCTAGGAAATTATTCTAACACTAATCTACATTGTCACTGAGAGATAGGTGTAGCACAAATAATAAAAACCCAGAGATAGGGGTTAAAGGTGAAGACCAGAGAAACAGTGCAGTAAGCCACTGAAGAGACCTTTTAACTCTGCTAATGCTCAGACTGAAGGAATGATCTTCAGACTGCCTAGATTGCACTATATTTCCACCAAACCTCACACTGCACACTCCATTGAGTTCCTGTCTCTTCCCCTTTATATTCCTCTTTCTATCCAGCCATTTTGTTCCTGTTTCCACCTCCCCCATGATGGGATTCAAGATGTAAATATGGCATGTCCTGAACTCCTTCACAGGACCTGATTATCTTGTCTAAACTTTTTACATTTTAATTTTATGTCATTATTTAAATCATGGTTGGCTAGCTTTGTGGTTTACCTCATCCACCCTGTTTTTAAGTAGGTCAAGAAGAGGGAAGGAGAGGAAGAGGGAGGGAGGGAGAGAGAGAGAGAGAGAGAGAGAGAGAGAGAGAGAGAGAGAGAGGCTAAGTCACTTTGGGAAAGAGGTTTATTAGCCTCAATGACATGCACACAAAGAAACACAGCTCTCATCTTAACGAGAATAAAAGATAATCTATTCTGGAGCCATTTTGAGTGATCATGGTCTGTTAACACAGATAAAGGTTACCCCAAATTTTATGTGTCAAGAGACAAATCTCAAAAGATAATAAATCAAAATATTTTGAAGACAAAGACAACCAAGACAAAACAGAAAACAAATAGCCTTTGAAGTTCCAATCTTGAACAAAATTCAAAATGCCTTTCAAGATCTCAATGTAACAAACCAAACCTAACTTAGTTTCTAGACTAAAGTGATTTCAAAGCAAACAAATGAACTAAATACCTTAAACCAAGAGTTTTGAAAGTAGACTAAAAAAGCATATGTCCTATTAGGATCCTTAATTTATTAGCTCAGAATAAATAAGTAGATTGTTAACTAAAGCAAGAGTGGTCCAAGAGCCACAGAAAGAGCTAACAACCCATCTGAGCAAATAACACCAAGAAGCTTGGACTCAATAGTTTCTGGCAGATTATTGACTCTCATTCAGGTCATTCCTTTGATGAAAAATGGATCATTTTCAGAGTCCCACGTTGTGTCATCAGACACTTTTGAAATACTAAACACAGTTTTCATCTTAAAGGTAATAAGAGATAGTTTATTCTGGAGCCATTGTGAATAATCATGCCCTAGGAACTAGACTTAGGTTATTCCAAATTCCATGTTTCAATGTGGAAGTGGTTTTATGAAGTTTTTATAGTTTTGCAGACCAAAGAAAGTCATCAATCAAGACACGTTTAAATTACATTGGTGGGGACATCAGAAAGGTGGTTGCAGCAAGGTGGAGGAATCTTTTTTAGGCCTCAAATGATGTCTGATGACATTCTTAGCTTTTGGGTTTGTGGATGCTAGTGGTCTGCTAGTTCAAAGGTATGGGGTCTGCCTGACTTTGCTTTCTTTCTCCCAGCATTCTGTTCAGTCTACTCTACCTATTTAAGCTGCTGTCCTGTCAAAAGGCTAAGGCAGTTTCTTTATTTGACCAATGAAAGTAACACATAGACAGAAGACCCTCCTACACCAGATTTCAAAGGTTTTCTTTCTATCTTTTTAATCTATTAGCCACAGGTGTTAGTTCTTCCACTCTACATGTGGGCAAGGAATAGCTGCTGATGGTCTTGAAGGTAGCCCAAGATAAGGTGGGTAGTTAGCCTCTGCACTTGCAGTATTCCGAACTCTCAACATCAGTGCAGTTTCAAGCAGCCAGTCTTTGCAGACACAGCTTCTTTCCAGAAATTCTCCTTCACGACCCTAACTTCATGGTAGAAGTCCGAAGTTAAGCCTCAGTGCCTCACCAACACTACCCCAACTCCCCAGAAGGCAAGGTTTTTTATTTTGTTTAGTTGTTTTGTTTTTAGGGCTCCTTAGGTGGATAGGGAGGAAGGAGTAAGTAAAGTTACCTTTGTATTATGAAGTTTGCTTGAAAGACTATTTGCTCTGTGGTTTGGGCTGGGCGAAAGGTGCTTGGAAAAGTCCAGTGTATGCTTTTAGAGAAATGTTCAGATGGAGAATTTCATAAAAGAGTGGGTGGGCCTAGTTAATATGTGATCTGTGAATTGTGACATATGTCATTTGTAGGACTTGTGGGATGTGGTAATGATCTGGCTGCCTCTGATCCCCAGGCTGTAGGAGGGCAGGGTTTGCTCTTGTCAGCCCCTCTGTGTAGGGCCTCACTAGCTGGAAGTCACGCTTCTCTGCTTATGTGGTGCTCTCGTTTCCAATGATTTGGTCTGTAAATTGTTTAAAATATTCCTTGAAAAAGGTAAAGATCTTATGGTCAAATGCATTTAGGAAGTGGTACATATTGCATTTTGCTCTAACAGAGTGTCAATATACACAAGCTCAATGAACATTGATATTTTAAAGGTTCTGAGGGGCCTAGGAGAAAAAAAAAGTGTAGTTTTAACGCGATTTCCTAAACCTCCTTTTATTTCAGGATTCCTGTTTATCTCTCAAGCTATGAACACAAAGATGTGTTTCTCCCTCACTCATTATCTATATCATAATTAAGCGATATGTCTTATCAGTCATAAATTAGCATGGTTAAATATTTAATGCATTATTTTCTACAGAGATGGAAAGGGAATAAAGTATAAATATACGTGGAGTGGAAGTCACCAAAAGGGTTTTTAAACAATGGAGAATTTTGTAGAGAATATTTGTTTTGTTCTAAGTTATAAAATTAAAGTAATAGACTCTTTGCTTATTGAGATGATCTGCCTAACCTTAACCCTGCTAAATAATCACTTTTGACAGTTTGGCGAAAATTTTCACAGATATATTTATATCATGAAAGTGAAGTTTGTTTGTGTGTGCATGTACACATGTATTCTTTTTTTAATTTTATTCCTTTTTGTTGTTTTGGTTTTTGAGAGAGGTTTTTGAGTATAACCAGTCTGTCCATGAGCCCCACATCTTTTTTGCTCTACACTCCAGTTTCTGGAAATCCAGATGTGCACCACAATACCAAGTCCCCTTTATTTATTTATTTATTTATTTATTTATTTAAATAGAAGTCTTTATGAAGCATAATTAATAAAATTTATAATAATTAATAAAAATTATAAAAATTTATAATAATGAATAAAAATTCTCATAGAGAGAAATTGGGGTTCAACCTAAAGATCCAAAAAGCAAAACAGTCAGCCACTGGCTCCTACCTCGACTTCAGTCCAAAAATGGCAATCCAGCCTTCAGGAATCTCAGAAAAGCTGTCTGTCATCCCTCTCCCCCCATTTTATATTCCTCTCTAGGGCTGGGATTAAAGGCATGCACCACACAATTTCTTTGGCAACTAGTGTGGCTCTTGGAATTAAAGGTGCATGTCATTGTGATTAAAGGTGCAATGTTGTGGGTACTGGGATTAAAGGTGTGTGTTACCAAAACCTGGTCTGTGACATTGACCAGTGGAATTGTTTTACTCTCAGATCTTCAAGCGGTCTTTATTTATTAAAATACAGTTGAAATGCCACTACATCTTTACTTTAAAAATATTTGTTTTTATTTTATGTGTTTGAGTGTTTTCTCAGCGTGTATGAAAGTGCACTGAGTGCATGGCTGGTGCCTGTGTAGATAGATGGAAGAAGGGAAGGGATGCGCTGCACTGGAGGTACAGATGCTTTGTAAGCTGCCATGTGGACCCAGGGAATCCACTCAGATCCTCACAAGAACAGCAAGTGCTCTTAACCACTGAGCCATTTCTTCAGTCCACTCTCTTAATTTTGACACATAATGAGATTCTACTGTGCATACTAGTCCACTGCTTATTTTTACATTTAATAAAACATTGTAGCTAGATTTCCACTTTAAGACTTCAAAGTTCCCTCTGATTGTATTTATCATCATTTCAAATGATTTTGTAATTCAGAGTAAAGTAATTTATTTCACTGTGACTCCAAATAGCAAAAATTTAGTCTATTTTCCATTCTTTGTGTGAATAAATAGGAATTTATTTAGATTTTTATTTATTTCTTTGAAAATGTTTTTAAGAATAATTTTCAGTCCACAACACCAGAGAATCTAGGAAGCAAAGAGGACCTTAAGAGAGACATACATGGATTTACATAAGAGGGAAAAAAAAACGACATTGTCTCCTGAGTAAATTGGGAGTGTGGGGGTCATGGGAGAGGGTAGGAAGAGGGAGGGGAGGAATGGAGGGGGGGTGGGAAAATGTATAGCTCAATAAAAACAGAAAAGAATAATTTTTAAATGTCAGATTTCTTTTATTTTTCTCTTTCTTTCTTTCTTTTTTTTTTTTCTTGTTTTTCGAGACAGGGTTTCTCTGTAGTTTTTGGTGCCTGTCCTGGAACTAGCTCTTGTAGACCAGGCTGGCCTCGAACTCACGAAGATCCACCTGCCTCTGCCTCCCGAGTGCTGGAATTAAAGGCATGCGCCACCACCACCCAGCTAAATGTCAGATTTCTTTAGAAATTTTGATAGATATTATTAAATTGTCATCTAAAAAGGCAGTGCCAATTTAAATACAGGAAATCTTTTCTGTTATCTAACAACCAGGGTTTCTTTTCTACATTTTCTGAAATCTAGAGTAAGTAAGTTTTATACTGATTGCTTATGTTGTTGTTTCAGAACAATGAGATGGTGGAGCTACAGAGAATACGAATGAAAGATGAAATCCGAGAATATAAATTCCGGGAGACCAGACTCCTTCAGGACTATACAGAACTGGAAGAAGAAAATATTACATTGCAAAAGCTAGTGTCCACGTTAAAACAGAACCAGGTGAGGATTAAGAAGATTTTCTTCAAGAGTTATACCATAGATAGATCTACATTTTCTAATAAATGAAGTTCATTCTTCCCCTTCTTTCAAAATGTTTATTTGTGTGTGTGTGTGTATGAGCACATACAGGAGTGCAGGTGCTTGCAGGAGCCACAGACTCTGAATCTCCCTGGAACCTGAGTTAGAGGTACTTGTGAGACACTTGATGTGGGTGCTGGAATCAGGTGCTGAAGACAGTTGAAGTCAGGTCCTCTGGAAGAGCAGTGCATACTCTCTAACTGCTAAGCCATCCTTTTAATCCTATACTTTGTTTCTTAAGAAAGAACTTGTCATGTTTTTTATACTCCTTTAATTTGTATGCTGGAATTTCTCTATCTTATTATATCAGCTAAAATGTATAAGAAAAATGTAAGTAGTATAGTTTACAATGCAGTTTTATTAAGCAAAATTTTAATTTGTTTTAACTTAGTGATCATTTGTCTTAGTAGTAAGTCAAATATAATAAATTATAATAAATTTAACTTAGCAACTTCCTATTGCTCCTGGGTATACTAACTTGTTTTATACAGATAACACCCTTAAGATCTTTCTATAAAACTTGTCTGTCTTTCTCCCCTTTCTCTGTCCCCCTTCCCTTCCCTTCCCTTCCCTTCCCTTCCCTTCCCTTCCCTTCCCTTCCCTTCCCTTCCCTTCCCTTCCCTTCCCTTCCCTTCCCTTCCCTCCCCTCCCCTCCCCTCCCCTCCCCTCCCCT